GACTCGGCGAGTGCACTAGAGCGACTCGGCAAGTTTGCGTGTTTTCATCAACTCGCAAGGATTTTCCCTTTGACACGTCGAGTACTCCCCTGACTCGACGAGTTCCACCTGGTCATGAATCACGGGGCCACCGCAACTCAACTCGCCGAGTCACAAGGACAACTCGGCGAGTCCCAACTCGACTCGGTCCACCTGTCAATACCTCTTTAACTCTATGTGACTCACTGAGTCACCCACAACTCGGAAGGACTACTCAGTGGGTGGTTTTAAGGACAATCTTCAAGCTACTCGTCAAGTCTATTCTTCAGACTCGGTGAGTCCATGCCATGCATCAGCTAAAACTTGCTTCCGCGGTCAGATCCGTTCCATACAAACATAGATCTGGCCTTCCCAAGCTCATTTATCACGTAAAGTTTCAGTCTTGGCTGCCATGCAACACTTACAAGGCTCTTTTTGGGGAAATAACCTCTAATATGGCAACCCTAGTCTCCAACTCAAAAGAATGGACATAAAGCATATCATTTGGGGCCTTCTGGACCTGCTAAGGTCCAGATCTAGGTTCCATATCTCCATGGGACCTTTCATACTTCAAATACAAGTCAAATAAGGCAAGAAGAAACCCTAGATTTGACATATCAACCCAAAACACGAAGATTAGCTCTTAAAGTTACCTCAAGAAGCTTCCCTTGAAGAAATAGAAGCAGATCCAAGCTCCCTAACTCTTCTAGCTTGATCTTCTCCTTCCTTTCTTGCAATAACACACAAATTGGTGAACAAATAGCCTCTTATCTCACTCACAAGGACTCTCAGCTGCTTTGGTGCACTCAAGGCTCAAGGTGGCCGCAATGAAGTATGGTCCTTTAAATAGGGCTTAGGACCGGAAAATTAGGGTTTCATTAAACAGCACGGACTCGCCGAGTCCATCCCTTGGACTCGCCGAGTCCAGATGTGAACCTTCGTCCAAAACCGTGACCCGACTCGGCGAGTTCGACCTCCAACTCTCCGAGTCCCCTCACAAAATACCAAAAATATGAAATTAAAGATACCTGGAGATCATCTTTGGCTCTACGAATCCTAGCTTGATAGTTGAATTCAGGAAGTGGATGGAGACTAACATGAGAATAACAACATTATTTGAAACACTTAATGATAGTTAAATTTATGCCATGATTAGTGATCTGTTAGATCTACATGCTTAATTGTTTATATGTATGTACACATGTCTGTCGGTTTGGGGGAAAAAGGGTTGAGGCAGGTCCCAGATTGTTTAGTAGGCCAAGACACCCTGGGCGGACCAGGTAGACTGTAGGCCCTAGCCGGGCAAATCTAGTTAGGCCGAATGCCTAGCAAGTGGTGGGATAGGCTGAAGGCCCCGAAGAGGGTGGTCCAAACATGCCGAGGGCTCAGAGAGTAGTCCAGATAGATTGAGGATCGGGATTTCGGTCCAGTTAGACTGATGGCTCATTATGCATGTTGTTTTGTATTTGTTTGCTTATATGTTATATAATATGGTTATAATGGTTTAATGATTGGTATTTTGGGGGTAACTCACTAAGCTATCAAGATTACATCTATCGATTATTGTTTTAGGAACTTATAGTGATCGCAGGAAGACCAAGGCATGATCGTACCGCTCCTCCTGCTATTATTATTTTATGATTTGATACTTGGATACTCTGATAATTATTATTTTGTAAAAAAATATTTGTAATGTTAAATGGTTTAATATGTTTTGAAAAAGTTTAAATTTTTCATGATTTTATGGATGTTAAAAGTTGGTATCAGAGCCTTGGTTTGAGTGAATTGGAGGAACATTCGTGTGAATCCAATTTCAAATCAAGGAAAGGTTTTCAAAATGATTTCTAAAATGGTTTTCAAAATAAGTGAAGGAGGATGTAGGGTGTATGATTAGCCGGAGCCAGTAAGTAGACCGCAAAATAGCATATAGTTATTTGATTATGTGATATGTTAGAACAACATGCTAGCACTAGGCTAGAGTAGATAGAATTGCCAGGTTACATGATGCATGCTATCCTAGAGTGTCCTTTATATGAGATTGACATCATTACTGTAGTTGCTTAATGTACGCATCATGGTTACACATAATTAAGATCTTATAGCCTGAGAATGTTGATTTACTCTTATGTTCTATTATTTTTTGATTGGGAGCTTAGGGTGGGATTGGATATTCGAAAGTCTATGGGGTCCAACGTTATGTATGGAAAGTATACATTAGTGCTACATGGTTGGTGGAAGTTTCATGGAAGTGTAAGTTGTTAGGATGAGTCCGCCAACTGTGAGATATTTAGCCTTCCTCTAGGAGTGAGGGCTGAGCGTAATGTCATGGTTACGTATAATTTAGGGTGTTGTGATGATACTTGAGACAAATATGGGTAGGTGTGGAAGGTAGAATGGGCCCGTACTAATGAAAGCACATGACCCATACGCATAGCAAGGAAGTCACAACCACTAGGGTTTTGGTTAGGGAATTGATTCTTGGATTATTAAAGGGAATACTTAATATCTGTTTGGTTTGATTGCAGCATCATGGTTACACAACAATTCGTGACTAGTCCAGTTCAGGATCAGGAGAGGGCAGACAGGAGGCGCCGTCAGCGCCCGAGACTATCGGTCAGATGAAGTCGGATTAGATGGGCGATAGGATCCGGGAGATCCTACAGGACAAGTTTGCTACTATGTTCCGGGCTCAGATGTTGTAGATGTTTGGGTCTATTAAGACCTCTATGGTGGAGTACTTTGAGGAGCGATATGCAGCCCTCACTGACGCAGCTTCCACAGCAGCCACCGCAACTGTATTCGCGGCAGGGTTGGGAGCCGGACAGGTTTTTCAGTACCGAGACTGAACTATTCGAGATTTTTCATATTGTGAATGTTAAGAATTGAAATATTTACAGTTTAGATTCACCGTAAGAATCTAAACTGTTCGAGTTTTTTTTTTTTTTTTTTTTTTTTTTTTTTTTTTTTTAATCATTGTTGATGTTTATTAATAGAGTACAAAAAATTAATATTTTTGGTATATTTTTTTTATAAAAAAAAAATTAAATATTGAAAAAAATAAGAAAATTAAGTGGGTTTTTTTCGAAAAAAATTCGTTTTTTTTATATATTATCATGAATCTCTATGGAAAGAGGACGAAAAATCGTGAACAACGGTATATTCGGATTTTTTTCGATAAAAAACTTGGCCTAAAAAAATTTTAAATCAAAAAAAGGAAGTGAGTTTTTCTTATAATCCGGTACATATGCGTCCATTATAAAAATTTACAACATTTTCTTTTGACGTTGATCGCTTTAAATTCCGACGCTTTGGATTGGTTCCTTGAATAATAATGGTTCTCTATTGAACTTTTTCATATATATATATATATATATATATATATATATATATATATATATATATATATATATATATATATATATATATATATATATATGGTTAGGTTCATTTGAGACGGCCTAATTTTGTGAAACCGTGAGATGCATTTTTTTTAATTTTTTTTAGTTAATTTAAGTTTCGAAAATAATATTTAAAAAAAGAACTTTTGGATTTTTCCATTTATTTTGTATTTTAAAATTATTTTGTATTTGGTATGTGTATATGTCTATTTGGTAAGTGTATATGTATGTATGTGCATTTGAAAATTTGTTTCAAGAAACTGTGCTTGATTGTATATTAATTTAGTGTATATATGATGTTATAATTGCAAATCTGTATATGGTTTGATTTAAGATAAAAGGAGTGTAAAGATAACATCAGTACAGCTACATAGGATTATATATTATTTAAATTTCAAATATATAAAATATTGTTACAAATAAACTAAAAAAATCAAATGTAAACATAACACCGGTGCGATATTATTAAATAACAACTTTTTGCTCATAAATAATATGTATGAATAATAGAAAAAAAGAACTGCATAAAACTTTTGTAAGGTGACTTAATTGTTAAGTAAGAATAATTTGTTTTTATAGTATGATATATTTTAACTTATATTCTCACTTTGTAGGATGTGGATGTTAATACTTTTCTCCAAAACCCAACGTTTGTGACGGCAATTGGAGATATTATCCGCTCATTTAGCAAGAAAATCGACAATGCAACTAACAACGACGATGAAAACGATGATGGGGAAGACGATTATTATATATTGTTTTATGTTATGGATGATGTTATTATGGATTTAGATGATGTTAATGTGATATACTTTTTTTATGTTATTTGATGTTTTATGTAATGAAGATTTCTAAATTATATGTTTTATAATTTTATAAGTTTTGCATTTTTATATTATAAACTAATATAAAATATAAATTTTATCTAAGAAAACAATCATTAGTGGCGATACCTTTAGGGACGATCTTAAACATTAGCGACGACACATCCCGCCGGAATATTTGGCCGGTGGCCGGAATATTATTAGGGATGACAAGTGGTATTAGCGACGATAAGTATTAGAGACGACACCTTTAGGGACGACTTTGGAGTATTAACTACGAGGTATTTGCGGCGACCCAATCGAGACGACATGCCGTCCCTAATACCTTTAGGGGCAACTTTCTTGACTATTTGCGATGCTTTTTGTCGTCCCTAAATGTATCTTTTTATGTTGTGAAACCAATATAGTATTTTGGAGTTAGGTACCTAACCTTATATAAGGTTGTTAGGTATATTCACTTTATCCCATATATATATATAACTTCAAAAGATGGTTAAAATTAAAAAAAGGATTATTATAGCTTATCATATTTTTTAGATTGACGATTTTTTTATTAATATATAATATCTATTATTTGTTTTTTAATTTAAATCTCGTGCTTTGTCAATATTTTTTTATCGCGCAACGTGATTACACGTCTAGTTTATCATAAGGACCACGTGTCGTTCTTTCCATAAAGCACATGTATTATTTTATGCAATGTTGTCTTTATTTTATTGATTAACAAACCAAAACTTTTCCTTTTTGTCGAGTAGTGAAAATGAAAATAGATCCCCTATTTACGCTTGGCTACATCTCTTCCAACAACAAGATTATAATATTCAAAAGTATTATCAACTTCAATAATTATCTTCGCTGTAATTCTTTTTCTTCAAAGTGTGCTTGTAATTCAGCTTGTAAACCTACTTCTTCAACAACAATATTCGCTGCTACCGCTGATGCTATGGAAACTCAATCCTCCATGGAATCGTCAGTACAAACATGCCGTCACTTTGAATTTAGTGAGATTCTCTTAGCAACCGCTAACTTTGACGATGCGTTAGTAATTGGGAAAGGGGGTTTCGGAAAAGTTTACAAAGGTAACATTATCAATGGATCAAGTGTTGCGGTTGCTGCCATCAAACGGTTGGATTTAGTATCCTCTCAAGGGGCCTCAGAGTTCTGGGCAGAAGTTGAGATGCTTTCAAACTTGCGTCACTGTCACCTTGTATCTTTATTTGGCTATTGTAATTATGAAAAAGAGATGATTCTCATCTACGAATATATGCCAAATGGAACGCTAGAAGACCACCTACATAAACTTGGTACCCCTCTTTCATGGCTTCAACGACTCAAGATCTGCATAGGTGCTGCTCGTGGGTTAGACTATCTCCACACTGGTACAGGGATTGAGTTAGGTGTTATACATCGCGATGTCAAGCCCTCAAATATTTTGTTACATGAAAGCTGGTCAGCGAAAATATCAGATTTCGGATTATCCAAAATAGGCCCAACAAATCAACCATGTACTTATATAAACACACTTGTTAAAGGAACTTTTGGGTATTTCGATCCAAATTATTTCACAACTGGAAAGCTAACTAGGAAGTCCGATGTGTATGCTTTTGGTGTGGTACTGTTGGAAGTGCTGTGTCGTAAGCGTGCAGTTGATAATAGTCTTGATGTGGGCCTGGCAACATGGGCTCAAGATTCTATCAAAGAAGGAAATTTAAAACATATTATTGATTCTTCTATACGAGGTCAGATATCCTCAAAATGTTTGAAGGAGTTTGTTAGAATTGTAGAGAGGTGTTTGCTTAGTAATCCAAAGCGGCGTCCTACCATGGCTGAGGTTGTGGTTGGTCTTGAGTCTGTGTTGACCTTACAAGAGAAAAGGAATAGTTTGTTGCAACCTTCAGGAAGAACCATATTTGGTCGAATGGTTGATAGGTTCCCCTCCATGTCTAGCAGAGAGAACTCTGGTATTTTAAGCTCCTATTAAAGTCGGTATACAAAAATTTTAAATTGTATGTATATATTTTCACATATATAACAGAGAGAACACAAATGAAATTATAAGAATGTCATTTCCCAATGTCAAACAAACAACAGTACTCATGCATTGAGGAGCATTGATGATGAATCATTGGCTTTCATATCCGTTCGCATATTCTGCAAACTCAATATGTGAAGAGAGGCAGCATATTATCTAAATTAGTTAGACTTGAAGCTGGATGCTTATTAAAGCCTGTAGGATATAGTTTATAACAACAAATTAAATATATATGTTTGTTTTCATCTATTTCAGCCCATGGTGGTTCAGATCTATCAACTAACAACAAAGGGGACAATAGAAATGTTGGTGATACTGTGGTTGACAATGAAGATTTCACAATTCCTATGCCCAGTTTGAAAGTATTTAAGTTTGCTGATCTGAAAAGAGCTACAAGAAACTTTAGTCAACATTTTCTATTGGGCAGGGGAGGTTTGGGAGAGGTGTTCTTAGGTTGGGTTGACAAGAACACATTCGCCCCTTCAAGAGAGGGTGTTGGAATTGCTGTTGCAGTTAAAAGGTACTCTGAAGATCTTCCAGAATGGGAGGTAAGTATCAATAAATATACATAAACTTACATCTGTAATAAAGAGTTGATTAACAAGGGAAAGGCTTTTTAGTTAGGGGAGATGTAGCTACATATAGATTTATATATAAAAAAAAAAGTAATAGAACAATGAAAATGTTTTAATTCAGTTTGAATGGTTTGTTTCCTTCTCCACTAAAGTGGCTGGAGAAGACACAAATTTTCCAAAAAGCGGCTCGAGAACACATCCTTATTAACAATAGATGGAAAAAACCATGGCATTTGAACTTGAGAAAAGGACAGTGATGTAGTGTTGTTGTTAAGAGTTGTTATCAAGATATATGAAAATGTTGTTTTCTAAATCTATGATTTATATTGTGACTACAACCGATGATTCTTTGACATAAAACAATGCTAGAGTTTTCTTATTAATGCTTTTACTGAAAGTAACATAAAATTTTGTGTGATTAGACAGTGGTGACTGGCTTGGGGGAGTTGTCTCATCCAAACATTGTTAGTGTCTTGGGATATTCTGATGATAAAAAACACCAATGCTTGCTTGTTTATGAGTACATACACAACAGAAATCTTGGGCGCTTCTTATTTCAAGGTAATATACGGGTCTCTCTCAACCTATTGTTAATTTGGGTTAACATTACCCAAAAGGTTGAATTGTTAACTAATGTGACATGAATAATTTTTCAGATGAACATGATTTTGTTGAACCACTTTCATGGGGAACACGACTTATGATAATGATAGGAGTAGCTCGTGGGCTTGCTTTTATGCATTCGTCAAAAAATCAAGTCATACACGGTCATGTTGAACCTTCTAATATATATTTGGATCAGGTAGTCTTAAGTCACTTAAGATTTTTTGTGGTGATGGAACCACTTCCATGCTTTTTGTTTATGCCATTAAAGAGAAGTATTTATTTTGAATACCTTATTCCAGAATTTTAATGCAAAACTAGGGGATTTTGTGTTGGCAAAATTTGGCCCAGAAATCCAGAAGTTGGACAGTATTACTACAGGAGTTATGTGTAGCTTAGGTTATTTCGACTCACAATATCTAAGCACAGGTAAATTACTGCATCCTAGTGATACTTGAATATGTGATATTGACAATAATTGTTTTTGGTTTATGTTTCAAAACAAACCGTTCTAGAAAAGCATAGGAAGGAGCCTTTTTAGATAAACTGTGGAAACTTAAGAACAATGGTTGGTTTTGAACAATTAGACCCATGTGCAGTGGTTCAAAAAGTTTATCTCTCTCTCTCTCTCTCTCTCTTTCTCTCTCTCTCTCTTATATATATATATATATATATATATATATATATATATATATATATATATATATTGTGATTAGAGATAATTAACTTTAAGTGTTTCAGGCCACTTGACTATGAAGAGTGACATTTATAGCTTTGGAGTGGTGTTGTTGGAAACCTTAATAGGCCATCGAGCAAGGAGTATAGAGTGGCCTATATCTGAGTTTAATTTAGTAGATAGAGACAAGGTAAAGAAAATAATTGATCCACATCTTGGGCATAATTATCCCTTAGAAGTTGCTTTCCATTGTGTTATGCTTGCATTAAGATGTGTTGCTATGGATCCCAAGGATAGGCCTTCAAGTGAGGAAGTTTTGCAAAGCTTAGAACAATTGCATGTTGTCAAAAGCTAATGCATAGAAGGTATGTAGTTATGCATAGACTTGTGTACTAAATATGTTTTGTTTGTTGTTTCTTTGTGCCTTGTTTCACATGATCTAATCTATTTACTGTTATACACTTAGTTTGGACATTTTCTTGAAATCAAAGAAAGGATGTGTCAAAGAAAACCCAGGTTCATTTTTTTACTTCTACTTCTCCTATATTACAACATTAAATGTCTTTTGTTCTCAACATCCGATCGGTTAATATATATGTGATTATAAGTTTATATTTCAATCACAACCCCACTCAAAGTCTCATGTGCTTCTCTTAAAATGATCAAAATGTACTTTATAAATTTGCTTAGAACAGAAGAATCATCATAGATAATTTGTATTTAATTTAAAAGGATATTCATATGCATGCATACACCATCTAAAATATGTGGTCAAGCCAACACATTACTAACGTATACTCTCAGCACCTTCATGGTTTGTGTCCGTGAGACGTCTTTGCCTATGTACTCTTGAGAGTTACATGTGCAAACCAGATGTAAGCAAAACCTTTTTTCAAGTAACCTTCTGGTGCTTCATCATAACTAGTTAACAAATGAAAATATTATGACACAAGTAAACAATCAACAGAATAACAAATATATAACAAACAAAATTCAAAATATAAATACAAGAAGTAATTCACAAGAAAAACATACTTGAATGTGTTATACATAACAGAATACAAACTCAAAATTGTTGATGATTAAGGCCTGCAGGCTTTCATAAAGACTTATGAGAAACGGAGGGTCGAGAGAGGCTTATTGCACGATCCATCAAGCAGTGTCCTAAGATCGAGATTTCAAGGTATGGATATGGTTTGAGGATATAACAATCAATTGAAGAAGTGATCTTCTAATTTGTCGAAAATTTATGGGTTCCCTTTATCTTCAAAAAAACGAGTTGGCAAAAGTTTTTGTGGTGTGATATGTTTTATGTAGCCCTCATTAAATAACTAAAAACAAGTATTTATAGGTTTTGATTATGCCAGTTGGAAACTATCAAATACCAAAATTAACTAGCATAATACCTGTCAATTTTGTAATTACAAATTTAATAAAAAAATTAATTTCATAAATAAAAAAAATTTGTAATTACAAATTCAATAAAAAAATTAATTTCATAAAAAAAAAATATTTAATTAATCAGGAAGACCCTAAAAGCCCCGAGGCCTAAGGCCCATCTTTTGACCATTAACTGTTCTTTTTATATTAGCATAATTTAAGTCTAATTAGGCTAGTCCAACACCACAACCCAAGCCTATCAATCTTAGCCCAATGCTTCATCCATATTGCTAATGGGGCTTAGACTTATAAGGAGGAGCTTTTCCTTTCTTACTTCCAACGTGGGACAAGTTTGACAATGCAAATTATTAATCAAAGTTCCAACAGAAAAAACAAGGAGTCGCTTACTTATACTACTACATGCTTGCAAAAAGTTTAAATATTATTAAAAAACAAGAGAATAAAAACTACAACATACTAAGAAATTTAATACAAGATAAACGAGTTGTGTCCACTTGTTTTTCATTAGTTACATGTTATGTGTAACCCCGTAAATTTCAAAACAAATTTTTCAAATTTTTATAAAACATAATTCATTTAATATTCATAAAACAACCATATTTAATTATCCAATTCAAGTAAATACAAAATCCCAAGATCACAAATGTATAAACTCCGTGCGTGTGTACGGATCAAGCCGACGTCTTCCCGCGGTCGTCACTAGTACCTGAAACAATAATATCAAACACTGTAAGCACAAAACTTAGTGAGTTCTCCAAAATACCACATATAACACATATTAGCCACTCGAGGTTATAACTTTGTGGGTCCGTGCACCCAAACTCTGTGAACCCTCAGGTTCTAACTCTGTAAACATGCATAACATAAATCACATAGAAATAATGCAGTACAACACATAACATATATAGCATACAAATACTCTATCACATAACTCTGGTTACCTACTCAAGGTAAAGTATAGTGAGAAGACTCACTTTGTGTGTCTTGGTAAGTCGTGAATCCTGAAATCACTAGTGCTCGATCTCCCGAGCTATAGTCCTCCTAAATCACAATACATCTCTAATTAACACTTTCCCAACTAAGATTGACTACTCTTTAACAAGTCAACTTAGGTCAATGCTGGTCAACGGTCAACTTTGACCGGACTCGGCGAGTGCACTATAGCGACTCGGCGAGTCTGAGCGTATACACTGACTTCCCTGAAATCCTCCCTTAACACGTCGAGTATTCTCCTAAATCGACGAGTTCCACCTAGCATGAGTTGTGGGGCCACCACGACTCAACTCGCCGAGTCTCAAGAACAACTCGGCGACTCCACCTTGACTTAGTCTACCTGTCCACTCCGACTTCCCCCCTGCCTCACTGAGTCAACCCTCTCCAACTCGGCAAGACCACTCGTTGTGTGGTCGGGCAATATTCATACTACTCGCCGAGTCTGTTCTTCGGACTCGGCGAGTCCGTGCCATGCAATGACTCAAACTTGCTCATAAGGTCAGATTCATTCCATTAACCCATAGATCCAGTCCTTTTAAGCTTTTTAGCACGTAAAGTCACTATCTTGATGCACATACAATCTCTATATGACCATATATGGTGTTTTTGTCTCAAATATTACAACTCAAGGTCGTAATCTCCATTGTTATTCATAAAGCTTGGTGAGTGAGGCTCTCTGGACCTCTATGGATCCAGATCCAGAGCCTCAACACAAGGAGGGAACTATTTGGCATCAAATCAACCCAAAAATGTCCATAAGAAAACCTAAATCCAATTATACTTCACAAAACAGAAAGTAAGCCGAATCATACCTCTAGATTGATGATCTAAGCTTCAATCCCACAGAATAGCAACCTCCGTTGCTTCCTCTTGCCTAGAATCTCCTCCTTGTTGCTAAATGTCACACACAAGGTCAAGAAATGCTTCCTTTCTCTCTCAAAACATTCAAGCACTCAAGGGTTTCTTTCTAAGGGTTGGGTGAGCACAAATGACGGCCATATGGCCCTTTAAATAGGTCTCAAACCCCGGAAATTAGGGTTTCACAACACAGCGTGGACTCGCCGAGTCCACCCTTGGACTCATCGAGTCCGGAAGTGAACCCGTGCCCAAATCCGCGATCCTACTCGGTGAGTTTGAGCTCCAACTCACCGAGTCCACTCACAATTTTCATAAATAAATCCAAAATAAATACTTGGAAATTCCGGGCTGTTACAATTCTCCCCCACTAGAACTAGACTTCACCCTTGAAGTCTTACTCTGCAAATAACTCCGGATGCTGCTCTCGCATCTCACGCTCCGGTTCCCACGTCATCTCGGACCCCTTCCGATGCTGCCACTGAACCAAGACCAAAGGTACCTCCTTGTTCCTCAGAACTTTGATTTTTCGATCTCTAATGGCCACTGGTCTCTCAGCATAAATCAGGCTCGCATCCACCTGAATATCATCTAATGGAACCACTACCGACTCATCGGCTATACACTTCCGTAATTGCGACACATGGAAAGTGTCATGAATCTGCCCCAACTCTGCTGGCAAATCCAAGCGATAGGCTACCCTGCCTACCCTCATGACTACCCGAAATGGTACGATATATCGGGGCCCCAACTTGCCCCTCTTCCTGAATCGGATCACTCCCTTCCAAGGAGAGACCTTCAGGAGCACAAAATCACCGACCTCGAACTCAAGTTCGGACCGGCGCCTGTCCGCATAACTCTTCTGTCGACTCTGAGCAGTCAGTAACCTCTGTCTGACCTGCTGGATCTGCTCTATCGTCATAAGCACTATCTCTGTATTGCCCATAACATGCTGCCTGACCTCTCCCCAACAAATGGGGGTCCAACACTTCCTCCCGTACAACAGCTCAAAGGGTGGCATACCGATGCTCGAGTGATGGCTATTGTTGTAAGAAAACTCGGCCAACGGCAAATACATACCCCAACTTCCCCCAAAATCCAATACACATGCTTGGAGCATGTCCTCGAGGGTCTGAATCGTCCGCTCACTCCGTCCGTCTGTCTGGGGGTGATATGCGGTACTAAAATGCAGCCTAGTACCCAACTCCTCATGGAACTTCTTCCAGAACCTGGAAGTGAAACTCATGTCCCGGTCGGAGACAATCGAGATCGGCAGCCTATGCCGAGAAACCACTTCCCTCACATAAATCTCTGCTAACTTCTCTGCGGAAGAACTCTCACTGATGGCAAGGAAGTGAGCGCTCTTCGTCAACCTATCCACAATCACCAAAATTGCATCAACTCCCCGAGCAGTCCTTGGCAATTTGGTGATAAAATCCATGGTGATCTGTTCCCACTTCCATTCGAGAGCCTCCAATGGCTGCAACTTACCATGGGGCCTCTTATGTTCGGCCTTAACCTTACGACAGGTTAAGCACCTCTCAACGAACCATGCAACATCTCTCTTCATACAGGGCCACCAATACTCCTTCCTCAAATCCAAATACATCTTAGTGGCCCCGGGATGGATCGAGAATTTCGACCGATGAGCCTCTTCCATCAAAATGGCACGCGTACCTCCCACGAACGATACCCAAATACGCCCCTGAAAAGTCATAAGCCCCCGACCATCGGTAACAAACTCCGATACCAATCCAACAACTCAGTCTCTCTTTTGGTTTTCCGACCTTACTGCCTCAGCCTGTGCTCCTCGAATGGTGTCCAACACCGGAGTCATCACGGTCAAACACAAACATACACCTCGCAACGGGGCACTCTCCGCCCGACGACTCAGGGTGTCGGCTACCACATTAGCCTTGTCCGGATGGTATAGGATCTCACAATCATAATCCTTAACCACATCCAACCACCTCCTCTGCCGCATATTTAGGTTGGGCTGATCCATCAAATACTTCAGACTCTTATGGTCCGTGTATATCGTATACCGAACCCCATACAAATAATGGCGCCAAATCTTAAGGGCGAGCACCACTGCCCCCAACTCTAGGTCATGGGTGGGATACCTCGACTCATGAGGCTTCAACTGCCTCGATGCATACGCTATCACATGCCCTCTCTGCATCAGTACCGCTCCCAACCCCAAAATCGATGCATCGCAGTATACAACAAAGTCCTCCATTCCCTCCGGGAGGGCTAACACCGGGGCCTCGCAT